CACAGGCAGACCAAACATTCATATATTTAGTTATAATGCGTTGTGTAAGTTAAAATATCGATGAAATATGGAGGTTCAATCAAGGCTACGCTAAGACATAATAATGTAAATCACAAAAGCAGTACTTTCATGTAATTTTCCCACAAGCGTAGCGCGGACGTACATTTGGGGCAAGGCATTCGAGTCATGTGCTCTGCTTTCAGCCTTTTTATTCCATTTGTATTGCATAAGATTTTCTCTGCATTTAGCCCCACATCCTCTCTTCAACGATTGCCAACCACAAAATTCCATCACTCCAGCTGTTTCTCGGGACGAGGAGGATCGGCGAAGGGCAGTGTATTACAGAAACCGTTAGAATATAGTTATTAGATTGCCGTTCTTTAAAAAGAGAGTTGGAATCAATGTGAACAAATTTTCTTTTTGAAATATCACGATGTTGGCTAAGAATTTCACGGTCCACCCGTTGCGATCCTTTTCAGAACGATTATTCAAAACCCCATCATTTGAGCAGGCATGAGGGCAGTGGGCTATTGGTCCGCATATTGTGGTGAAGGAAGTCAAATTTTAGTAAGGAATCATTGATTATTATTGATTGAGGATTGTAATTTGGGATGAGTAAGTAGCGATCGTCTCCCATGAACGTTTGGCAACATAAGGAGTGAAGCTCAAATCTGTTGATCTTCACCATTTTGCCCCCTCGCATTCCAAAACCTATTCAGAAATGAAAGTCCATACGGTCATGTCTTTGGAATGACTTGCAGCTATTGGTAGAGCAGCAGTAAAAACACGCTATGGTGCTAGTCACAGTCTTTGAGGCGGTGCTGCTCGCCAAAGGCAGCGACACAGCGACATGCGCAATTGCGGACCATACAGCACCTTCGCGTCAATTGTAGAAAAACAAACTACAACATCACCATGTAGTTCTCGTTCACAAAAAGGAAAAGGCTTCCGCTCCTAAAATCGCGCATTAGAAAGCCCTATTGCTTAAAGTATATGCCTCTTCCTTATTTATGGCTAACAGTCAGGCTCATTAATTAATGTATAGTATGAACGATTCCTAACACAAGATACCAGATACACTTGCAGACAAAAGGGCGACGCACGGACGCCTCTGAGTTTCAAACGCAGGAAGTTCAAAAATCAGCTGTTTTTCAGCCGTGGAGGGGGTATGTGAGCGTTTTATAGGTTGTCTTTATATTTCTTTTCTTTTTCAGGTAGAAACTTACCAGCTGACTACTCAAACATGTTGGTTGCCCATCTCATATGGTAAATAGGAAGAATGGTCTTTTTGCTCATATTTTTGTTTTTCCTGTTCCATATGAGATAGGCAACTAACTTGCTTCAGTAGTCAGCTAGTACCTTCTGCCTGGAAAATAAAAGAAAATTTAAAGAAAAACTGTAATGATTCACTACCCTCCACGGATGCAGAAACAGCTGATTTTCTAATTTCCGCACTCGAAACTCAGAGGTCGGCGCGCCGCCCTTCTATCTGCAAGCGTTCTGTTATCTTGTGTTAGGAATCGACCATACGCAGCTACATACACCACCACAGAAGTTTATTCACTTGCACTATCATAAGCGAAAGACTGAGTGGATCACAGAGTTATACGTGCTTATTTTATAGTGTATATGTCTGAAACTGGCACTTGCGATAGCGGTGAGCTGCCGTGCGCGCAAGCTCGCTTTGCACGTCGTTATACAATTTGATCGATTGCCGCGTCGGGGAAGTGGGCATGTGCTATGCTTTCACGTGCCACCACCTCATAAATTATGCACTTAGGGAAATACATGTTCATGCTTCTTCCAAACTACAGTATTCTGTCCAATGGCAACCTTCCGCGTTATTCGTTCATGGCTACGGACTACAAAATCAAGAATTTCTGGACAGCTACTAGCATCTAATCACGCTAACTTTACTATGTCACTCTTGCCCTCAGCACCTGACGAGCAAAAACGATGAAGCACCTTCCCATCACAGACTTGAAGTTATTTCCCGTACCGATGTGTGATCCCCAGATGACGTCAAACGCATGTTGATGCGACAACTCGTCCTTAGAAGTGTGCAGCCGCTGCGGTCGAGCTCCACCCAACATCGCGTGAGTACCTGACTGTGCCATGTGTTGGTGGCCAGTGGTGTTTTCTGTTTCTTGCGACTTTGAGCAATTTCCCTTTGCTTCCTTTACACGCAACCATTTTGCTAGTTGGATACACTTCGTAGAATCAAGTCATGTTTAAGAGAAAAATCTTAGGAATTTACCAGAAGGGGATAATTTCGCAATCTGTTAGATCATGCTGTTTTTGCGCGAAAGTGCATCTATTCAAGAACTTTCTCTTGGACTGTGGTATATATCTGTTTTTATGTCTAATTTGGTTATTTTTAGTTTATGCGATGACTGAGTCATGCCCGGGTAGGCCAAAGAAGGAAGAGAGAAAGAAACCCGTCGAACATTTGGTGCTTGATACCGGTGCAATCATTGCGAATGTCAACCTTCACGTAGGTTTCATACTTTGCTTTGCTTGACTCTTTGTAGCCAACTGAAAAGAACTATGTGCTCGTGGTTCCACCTTTTAGTTCTTTTTCTCCTGGTTTATGCCATTGATTTTGGCTTTGTTCACCCAACATTACATTCGCATTCTACGAAATTTTTGTTGTTATCGATCGACCACTCACCTCCACTGCCAATCGTTCTTTCTTCCTTTGCGTGTATCCTATACACTTCTATCCCGTATACTTCTCTCAAATGACTCTCATGAATTTTTAAGTGTGTTATCGATCTAATCCATAGAAAAACAACATGGTCTTGATATTAGACCGGAAGCAGATTGCTCACATATTTTTTTTGCAGGAAATTGCTGAGCACTATTACTCACCACCTGAGGTTGTTGCGGAATTGAAATCCAGGCGTTCAAAAATTACATTCGATATTCTGCCTTTTGAAGTGGAACTAATAGAACCTTCTTCGGATGCCATAAGGAAAGGTATTTGCTCTTTATCTTTTGCCTTGCGATATCTTTTCTGGAGCTATTTCATACTTTTCTTGAGTCATGATAAATCCTTATTTCTCTTTAATTCTATAATTTGATTTTTTTGCACATATAAAATCATTAGTTCAAAGGTACGTTAGCCATACAAACATTGACTATTCCTGTAGCGTTAGGCTTTAAAAGGATTTGCTTGGTAAACACGGCGAAAAAAAAA